AATCACTCCAAGCAGGGGGGACTGGACAGCAGGGAACTTGTGGCTGCCCACAGCGCGTCTGGGAGGCCAGCAGGAGGACAGATGATATATGCATAACAGGTTGTAACCATATCTGTGAAATCGCTTTCCTCAGCCCTCTCCCACTACCCATTCTGTCAGCATCCATCAGCACACCTGAGCATGGTCAACCCCCTTGGTCTGTCCAGATGCCCAGCTTCAGATTCACGTGAGGAATGTGAAGGTGGTCTTGATGGAGCATATGGTTCCATTTTGCTGATTTGGTCCAGTTGTTTGAAAACACATTGTCTTAAGTAGCATGCCATTTATCATATTTCACTACCTTTCAGGAGAGGTTTGAAGAGGAGAAAAACATACATTTTCCTGATGTAATCTTACTTTCCCAAATTTGAGAAATAAACCATTTTATTACTTTACAATGGAAAAGAAGATTGCGCCCCATTTTTGTTTTACAACATTTATAAGAACATGCGTTGTTGTGATAAATTAAATCTGGCAAGGATTAAAAGAAAATTCTCCACCTAAGTAATCGTACAGCTTAAAGCAACATCCATAGGTCAACTAACCTATCCCTCTGCCAAAGACAGACTGTGCTTAAAAAACCGCACCCAGACAAATGAAAATTTATTCTATTTTTAAAGGTTTCCCAGGGAGAGGATCATAGGAATTTTTGCCCCTTAAGGTATTTAGTCTGCCTGAAAAATTCATTTCACATAGGAACATGATAGAAACAAAGAGAATACGATCGTCTGGCTGCCAAATCCAAGGACTTTTATTAATATTTTCATCATTCTGAAATACAAAGGACGAAGTGGAAGATAAAATTCATGCACTATGTCTGCTGTGTTTCTGATTAATGAAACAGACCCTTATATTTTGTTAAGGTTAAGTAAGCGAGCCTAGTCAAGAAGCTGAGTTTTTGCATTTTAATTTAGGGAATCTCAACAATAAGAAGTCTGCTGAACATAAGAAGTTAAAGCCAAGAACTGTTTTCTCTATAATTCTACTATGCTTTTCCCCAGCTATTGCACTGAAGGAATTGTGGTTTAGCTAGTAAGAGATAGTTTCACAAATTTAAAGTATTTATGGGTCATTGTCAATTTTTACTCTGAGATACAGAACATCCTCCAGCATAAATGGAAAAGTCAGCTCACAAGTGGTTTAAAATGAGGAAGACTGAATAATAAAAAAGTCATTTGAATATACATAAAATATAAATAAGCTTCTGGGCATATTTTAATTTAAAAGAAATCAATGTTTTGCTAAAATAATTTTAATTACTCAAATTGCCCATTGTCATTATGAGCTAAGCCTCATTCTTTTTCTAATTAAATGTGATCATTTGCTTAAGTTGTCCTCCTCTCAATGGGTAATGGGCACAAACTGACCTTGTGAAAAGAACTAACTTCCAAAAAAATGAATATTTCTCTTCATTTCAGGTTGTGATTAAACAAAGGGAGGAAGGGCAGGGGGGTGGCATGGAGGTTGAGCCAGCTTTCTAAATGCCCAGGGCATCAGAGAAAAAGCTTACTCCATGCATATCTGACATAAGGGCAACAACAGGGAAACAACCAAGAGAAAGCCTGTCTGTCTGAACAAAGAGCTAGTTTGCTGGCCAGCTCAGCCCAGATCTGGGCTCTGAGCTGCTTCAGGAGGCTGCTCTGCAGGAATTGCCCACTTTGTCCTCGTGGCCACGACCCTCTCTCTTCCTTTCCCTCACCTTTGCCCGCCCATATATAAATAAATGTATGAAAACTCCAAAGTAGAGTTCTGTCTAAGGTAAATATTTAACCTTTATCTCGCCCATATTTGCCATCGCACTCAAAAGATATTCCCATACGTATTAGTCATTTTACTTCCTTATAAGTCATGTACATGGTATTTTTAAGAAGTAGAGGAGCATGCTGGGAATGGGAGATATCAGCGGGTCCCTGATGCTGAGGTGGATGGGAAAGAAGAGGCCGGCCCGCCTACCCAGTGCTTTGAGACAATGCCAATGGCTTCTGCTTCGTAACACTTAGGTCAGGAATAAACTCAGATGAATCTACCTCTAAGAGGGAATGGGGAAACCTGGGGATGTGGTCCTGACAGGGGAAGGTGACCCCAGTGAGGATGACAGTGACCACACCAACTCATGCCCAAGAGCAAAGAGAGAGCAGGGCTGCCGTCTGCTCACTTGGAATTCCAGGGGCCATGTAATCTGCCCAGTGCTGGGTGGAAGTTCGCACGTAATGAGAAGCATTTGGGCATCAAGTGTCTGGATGCTCATATGCTCTTTGCATGGGCACAGACACTATGTGCCAGGCTAGTCTTAAGATTCCACAAAGGAAACTTCAGAGTTCTAAAAAAGTGGGGCTATAAACTGGCTTGGAAATCTTTGATTGCCTTAGAAGTAGCACAGAGTAGAGGAAAGCCAGAGATAAACATTGGTTTTCATCATAAGGCGCTTTTTTTTCTAGATTAGAGAGAATCTATTGAACAGAGATGAAAATATTCTCTTCAAAGTTTGGTTAATTCACTGAGGATTTGAATAAGTCTTCATAACTCTAGGTTAAAGAAAATGTGCAGTAAGCTAGAATGTTCATATAAAACATGGAGAGCCATAAGCAGAAGGGGGTAGAAACTGCTACAGAAGATTTTGGGTTAGCTGTAAAGAAGAGGTTTCTATAACAAAAGTTGCAAAACTTAACTAATTTGAGGTGAAGATTATTAAAGCCATCCCACAGAGTCTTTAAACGGAGAGTAAGTAGTATATTCAAGCCAAGAATTAGAATCTCGTAATTAAAAATCCTGTGTGCTCTAAAAATGTCCGGCATTATAATATATGCTTTGCGTGAGCTTTCTGTCTTAAACATAACAAGAGTTATCTGAGGCAGTGTTTTTTATTATTATTATCATTATTATTATTATTTACCAACAAATACACTGAAAATTAGAATGGTAAAATAAATAACCTAGAATTACTGATCTCATGATTATTGGAGTAAGGATTTGAACCCAAGTTTATCTGATATTAAAAATTTTGCTTTATTATTTCCCTATTGTGATTCTCAAAGATTTGGATTTTTATGAATGCTTGATAGCTCTCAGCTCAGGACATTCCCTGTTGTCATGACTAAAGAATCTTAGCCTGTGAAAGGCTAAGACTTAGATCACAGCTGATATCAGAGTTCTCCCACTAGAGCCTGGGAGAATTCAGGGGCCCAGGTTGAACAAGAGCCTGCAGAACTAGTTGTCATGAGTCTACAACGTACTGATTCATTCCCTTTCTCCAGCCCTTATGCTCTGAATCCATCATTAAGTCTCAATGTGCATGTAGGTTTGAGTTCCTATCTGTCTTAGGTGCGGTTCTCTGGGAAACAGATCTGAGATGAAGACTTGCATGCAGGAGGTTTATGGTACCAATACACATGGATAATTGAAGGAAGCAGGGTTGGGTGGATGGAAGTTGAATTGTGACGCAGTTCCAACAAGGCCTGCCAACGCTTCAGCTGCCAACACTCCCAGAAGTTGGTGGAATAAATGCCTTTGTTGTAAAGGGGGTGGAGGGAAAGTGGCACTCACAACTTCCACAACATGCCTTCTGTGCCTCTGCTGAGACCAGTTTGACTCAACAAAGCAGACATGGCTAATTCAGCAAGCAGCAGACTCCCTCTGGGCCAGCAGCCTGCCAACAGTGGCACCGCAACCTATCTAACGCAGGGTCACTAGTTCCAAGAAGCAAAGCCACACCCATGAAGTGTTGCATTTCTTAAAGAGCCAGAGGTGAAAACAAAAATAAAATCACCAGCAAGGATATACCTGTGTACGTTGGCAGACGTGATGAAGGTTATGGTCTATGCTTGAATTAGAGATGTTCTGTGGAAGAGCAAAACTGTGCCCAGCCCTCCCTTTGGCCCTGCACTTATGACAGGGGCTCCACAGAACATCTGAGAAGGGGAAAAATGGAGAAAAATTATTTGATATCAACCCAGAGTGAGCCAAAGCATCACATCCAGACACAACCTGCTGGGATAGCTCATTATTAAAAAGGAAGCTAATCTCTGGGTTGAACACATTCTTATATGCCACACTAAATTTATTTTATTAAAGAGTGTTGTTGGAACACTTTCTCTAAGTGTTTTCCAAAGATCAGATGTTAAATCCGATTACACCCTAAGGTTCTTTGTCTGCAAATAATGGGCATGGCCAGGAGAGCTTTCATTCAATCAATAAAAAATTTATTAAACACCTACTATGTACAAAGCACTAGTCTATTCACTGGAGACCAAAAAATTACTGACATAGTGTTTTCTGATATCAAAAATCGTATGTATTGAAGATACATAAACAGCTAGTTATAAAGCAATTTGATAAATTCTACAATAGTAACACGTACAAATTGCAATGGGAGCCCAAAGGAAGAAGTAATAAGAGAGGCATGACAATAACACACTTGGAAATAATGGCAGGTGTTGAATATAAGAAGCATAGTGAACTCCTAGAGCCCTGTAGTCTAGCAGCCGTTAAACTAACACCATTGCTGATTTTAATGTCATCCTTGCACGGGCAGCAGGAGCAATTCTGGGGTTAACGGTAACAGAAAAAGCAGAGGGGGACAAATGCTCAAGTTAGCTAGGTTTTCTAAAATTTTTTTCTATAGAATCTAAACAGAACTTTACATTTTCCTTCAAAGAATGCAGTTATAAAAAAGAACGTAAGTACAGTTAAACCACCCAATCCTTTAACCACCTTCTTTTTCTTTTGTGGTAATCTCAGAAATTCTGATTTACACATACCTTATTACCAAAGAAAATTGACCTTGATTTCAAAACCACTATTTAACGACTCACCCAGACCTACACTACCTACCCTCCACAACTGCTTCCTTTAGAAAAGAAGAGCTATTTCTTGCTTAGGATTTCTTGCATGCATCAACAGCTTAATTTTTGTTTATAATTTTTTAGATGGCAGTTAGGAAACAAGAAAGGACTCACCTCTTTGAAAAACAATGTAACGTCTGGCTAGGTGTTTATTCCGCCGCCTGGGAAAATGATTTCAGATGGTCTGTTGTGGATTGCCCAGACTTCCTCAGCTCCCTCCCGCTCAGGAAAAAATCCCTTTCCTGGGGTAGTAAGTTGAGAGAGGAGAGCTGTGTAACATTAGACAGTGAGCACCTGTCCTCCAGAGCTTCCAGCAGATTCTTCATCACGAGTAGCCTAGAAGCAGGAGTTTAGAGTCATACTTTTTCCGTGAAGGATGTGGTAAAATCTGGGAATTTTAAAATGGAAAAAATTGGTATGTAAATGTTTTAATCTCAAATAAAACTTGACTGGGAGGGGAAGGAAGTAAGGAGAGATGGGGAAACATTTCTACCAGTTTAGAACTTTGCATGAGGCTTTGAGAGTTATGCACTCCTAATAACTGAGGACAACCTTCTGATAGAGTTCTAAATGCATTGTTAATGTTAGAAAGAATTAAATAAGTGATATTTATATAAGAAAACCTTTGTTTTCATTCTGTACTGTTTTATTATTTGATTTTTATGAGACACAATTTTCAAAAGAGTGAAAATTTGCCAAAAGAATGAAAAACAGAAATACGTGAAAATGTTTTCACATGGAGTACCCACTTTGTAAAGCCCCATCTAGCCTGGTACCTCTCTCCCATGATAATTATGCCCTGTGTTTCCAGCAAGCACCAGTCTCCTCTTGGCCTGCTGAGGTTGGGATGACCTTGGTTAAAGGGCAAAGGCAGAAAGGAGACCAAGGCATGCACAGAAACAATGATTGAAGAAGACAAACTTGAATTGCAAAGCAATCTAGCAGGACCAGCAAAATGGGCCAGTGCACTGTCTGTCACAGTGCGTACTGCAGCTGTCTGCTCTGACAGAAACCAGCCCACAGCAGCCTCTGAATTACAGGCACACATTGCTGTCGCTCAGCCACACCCCACAGCAAGCATTCTTCCATGTAAGTTGATGAAACAATGAGAAAATAACTGTTGGCAAACCAGTTTATTAGACTCCTTTGAGAATAATAATAATGATAATATTAATACTTCCATTTGCTGGGATTCTAGAACATGTCAAGCATTGGAATGGGCACTTGAAAAACATTACCTCTAAATATAATTCTGTAAAATAAGTAACCCATTCCTTAGAAAATTAAATGCCTCAAAGTTAAATGACTGAACTGTGTTCACAAAATTACCAAGTTGCAGAGGCTGTATTTGAACCTAGTATTTCTGATTCCCCCAGATTTTCATATTTATCACTATGGATCCCTTAAATAATAATGCTGTCAGGTATCATTTATTGAGCACCTATTGTGTACCTATTAACTTTACATATATCATTGTATTTAATCCCCAATGTAGTCTTTGATATCAGGTAATGTCATTTCCATTTAAAAAAATCTCATATAAAGGTAAAATATTTGTCTAAGTAAGGTTTGGGGATAGTTAGTTATTATCTGGGGATAGTTATTATCTGTATTATAGTGCAGGCATGATGTATCTTTGTTTCCTACTTTTGTTCAGGAAAAGATTAAATGTAATACTTTCTACATCTTGATAATTCTATAAGGCTCTCTAGAAATATTATCTAACATTGTGCTCCTTGTGCATCTTTTACCCACAGAGAAGAATGACTGCATTAAACTGACGATAGTGATTGAGAGAACAAGTTTTAGAGTCACATCCCAAACTGGTCTAGAATCCAAGGTGGGTCATTTATGAGCTCCATGACGACCCTGTAGATACTATTTAATCTTTCTAAGCTTCTATTTCCTTAGTTATAAATTATAGATAATAACACCTAACTCATAAGTATTTGTATTTTACAAATCAAATCAGACAATGTGCATAAAACACTTAGCACAATGTCTGGCATCTACTAAGTGAAAAATAATTGGTAGCTGTAGTTATTTTAAAACAACAATAATCACATTTTATTGACTGCATCAGTCAATTTTCGATATAGCTGCTTTAAAAGAAAAAAAAATAGCATTGCCTAACAAAGATAGATATGAACTTCTCTCTCATGTAAAAAAGCACAGAACAGACCAGGACATACATGGTGACTCTGTGGTGTCATTAAGGACACCCAGGATGTTATCTTTGTTCCATTACCTAGACAATTGCTTCCATTCTCAAGATCACCTCATGGTCCAAGGTGACTTCTGAAGCTTAAGCCAGCTCATCTGAGTCTTGTGTCTGAAGGAGAAAAAGAAAGAACAAGAAAAAAAGGGACCCCTTGAAGCTGAGTCAGCTCCCTTAAAGCTACCTTCCCATGGTCCCATGCAATTCATCTGCTTCCACTTCATTTACTAGATCTTAGTTACATGGCCACACTATGCTACAGGGAAACTAAGACATATAGTCTTTTATTCTAGGAAAAATTATGCCAGCTAAAAGTATCAGGATTTGTTTCTAAGGTGGAAGGGGTAGATGGATGTTGGAGAAGGCAACTGACAGTCTCTGCCACACTGGATAAGAATGATACTACCCTGATCATAGCATGTCATAGCATGATGGAATATTAGCGATTCTTAGTTCCATCATTTTATTTAAAAGATGAGTAAACTGTCATTCAGGGAGATAATAGGATGTTTGAAGGATTGCATGATGAATCAGAGGCAGTGCCCAAATAGAACTCAGATCTCCTGACTTCCGGTCCAATGTACTCTCCGTCAACTTCACTGTCTTTCTAATAAATGACTGATTTTTTTTAATGCCCTTTTAGAGGGATATGACCTAAATATTTTAAGGCTTCCAGCTCTTGTTTCATCCTTCACATTAGTTAACAGTGGTCACTATTCAATTTGCCATTGTAAACTCTGTAATTGCTAACAGCCATTTTACCAAGGCAAAAAATATAATTCTGTTATTTGCTCTACAGGTATTATTTTCTAAGCCTTTATTCTGTTACTCTCCTCTGAGTCCATTTTATTGTTCTTTCAGTCTAAAATTTATCCCCTGAAGAGGTACTTTGCTCTTCCGGAGGTTATAGCCAGGGAAATATTATACAGTCTGTAATTTGCAAGCTTGTGTTTTTATTAAAGGAAATTTAGTTCACATGTTTCTATCTCATTTAAACTAAAATCTGTGAAATATTAGAGTGCTATTTGATATCTATGCACTCCTGAGAGCCTTTTAAATAGGCTTTGAAATAACTTTTTATTTTTAGAGATAGGAAGCTATGCAATGCTAAAAGCACCCTAATAAATGGACACAAGCAGCGAAAGATTAGAATTGTAAGTGCAGACCAGTGAATTTTAAATGAATCCTAAATTAGAGTGATTTCTCTAGCTCCTAATTAAAGAGGTTTTAGTCACAGACAAAGAACAAAAAGCATAAAAGAACACGTGGCATAAGGAAAGAAATCATAATTATTTAGTTGGGAGGAAGATGTGTTAGAAAAAAAATTTGTGTAGTCACATTAGCTTGTCATACCTTCCAGGCATGATTTCAAAGGGAAACAAGAATTCCTTTCTGCTCTCTAGAAACCTGGATTTACCTCAATCACAGATTCCTTTGAAAATGATTTAATAGGGAATTTCAAATTTTAACAAGATGTCTCATGGAAAAATGTTAATCCTAAATTGGTAAATTGAAGAAAAAAGACAACAAGCTATAAATAGAGCCTGGACAAAATCTCTTTTAAAAAATATTATATATACACATGTATATTTTAAAAGTTACAGAAGGATATACACCCAGATATTAATATTAAATATCTTGAGTGATAGAATTGTGAGGAATCCCCCCCCTTTTCAGTCTATATTTTTTTCTAAGAGGAAGAATATGTCTGTTCATATTTTAATTCTAAACGACACAGTTACCTGATGACAAACAACTGATTTTGAAAGAAATAAAATAGGCTAATTCTCAAATTTCAATGAAAGAACAAAATGCATCCAGTGACAGGTTTATATTGTGTGAACAGAATATCTATTGTATTTGGGGAAGTTATGGCTGCATTTATCCAACAAAACATCTGGTCCTTCTAAGGTGTCAGAATTTGTCTGCTCTTAGTTTTATAAAATTTGAAGAAAAAAAGAGCTTTGTTTTCCAGATGTCCACATGATGGTACTATTAATTATACTATGCTATATTGGGGAACAAATGAAAAACAGAAAAGTAATAGTTCATTTAAAAATAAATCTATATTCTGTTATATCTGAAGCATAGTAACACAAGTAAATGGCATATATTATTTATTCAATCTGTGAACAACGGCAATGTTGATTCTAACCCCTGGCAATAATTCCAAATATCTTAGGGAGCTGAGAATGGGAACGTCTGGTGAATCCACTTGGGTTCCTGCCCTCTCCACTGTGTGCACAGCCTGAATTATCAGCACCTTTGTTAATGAAAAGAAATTTCCCCAGAAGTCAGCCTTATCCTCACATCCTCCTTGCCCTTTTGCCTGTGCTTTCTCTCACCTGCCTGTCCCCTCCTGTGCTAAGGAGCAGAAGACAGTGATAGGAGATGGAAATCCAGAAAGAGCCAAAAATTAGGGCATTGAGTAAAAAGAGTGTTAGGTGATGTCTCATGCAGTAAAGATCAAATAGAGGTGTTGACCACCTCCTTCAAAGCTCTTCTCCCAGGTGGTGCACAGTACCTCACACCCTTGAGCTGCCCCAGCCATAGACTAAACCCCGTGCTAATTGCAGACACTGCAGCCTCCAATTCCTGCTGTGATCTGCTCCTCTTCCACATGTAATGGGAATCTAGGCTGAGCACAGACTATGTTCTGTCTGTATCTATTTCTCATCAAACCTGATAAACTAATAGCAGAGTCCAACAGAAGTCTGTATCCACTGGGCTGATAATCTTCTGGGAAAATAACCCAATTATGCAGAATTCAAATACTTTATCTCAGCCATGGAAGATACACAGAACTGTCTCTCTGAAGTTTATTTGAATCTCCTTCCAAGGTGCCTTCCAAGAAAGAACTCATCCTACAACCTTATGAGCTGACTGGTCACCATTCTTAGGAGATCCAAAATGAGTAATGATTGAGTACTATTAACAGTTAGATTTGTTCCCAGTCCATTTTCAAAGGAAAAAGAGAGCTGTGAGTCAAAGGTGAAAACCCTGCATCCTGAAATCTCTGCAAGTCATTGGGGCGCAGCAAAGTCACTTCAAGAGACCATGTCATCTCAAGTAGATCATGACTCAAAGGAAAGCAAGGCAGAGCGGCAGGGTAGTTAAGCAAAGAACAGGGTGCCCAGGGGTAAACAGATTATGGCCCAGAAATGTAGACTCTCTGCTTGCAGTTTAGATTTCTTGGCTGATCAAACAACTTACCAAGTCTTAAGCCAGCAAAAAAGAAGTGAGAGTTGATATTTCCACCCTGTTATGTTTGCCTCTTTGTGGTCAGCCTGCTTGCCAGGAGAGAGCAGCTAGCTCATGGTCAGCACTCCCTCGCTTGACAATTTTCACTTGAGAAAAGCCTAAGGATGATGCACAGGGGAAATAAAGCATAGATTCCAAAACTTCAGATGTTACACTATTTTTTAAGTCTCTGGTCTGTTAAAATGAACCAAAGAACTTACTCTTAAATTATGCTAAATTCACTCCCTGGGCAATTTCTGGGTTTCATCATTCTGGATGTCTACCTCTTTTGATCCAATGATTCTAGAAATTTACCGCATTTTGCAGGGATAATTCGCCAGAGACTGTGGCTTCTCTTGGTTTACCCATCATCTGCTTGTGTACCCTGATGCAGGAGTGAGCAGAAGACCAAGTGCCAAGACCCAGGCTACCTTATTCCTTCCTGAGGACTGGCCACTGACCACTGTGTACTGAGAGGAACACCATGCCCAGCTTGCACAGGCTGTCTTGCCTATAGCCCAACCAGCCCCACGGATCCTTAACTGCCTTCCCCTGGAACCTTTCCAAAAGCTCTAAGTAAGACTTTCCTCAAGCCCCAGGACTTATGCCTGACCCTATCCACATGCCTTTCTGTAAGGGATGACCTCTCAGAATTATGGGATTGGGATGTCCAGAAGCAAATGCATCTTGTGAAATGCCTAAGAGACACAGAGTATAGAAATTTTATCAGGAGAGAAGAAAACTGAGTCCAGAATAGGTTTCATCACTGTATTAGTTTCCTGTTGCTGTTGTAACAAATTGCCACAAACTTAGTAGCTTCAAACAATACAAATTTTTTCTCTAACAGTTCTGGAAGTCAGAAGTCCAAAATCAGTCTCACTGGACTGAAGACAAGCTGAAGGCAGGGCTGGTTCCATCAGAGAGTCAAGGGGAAAATCCATTTCCTTGCTTTTCCCACTTCTAGAGGCCACCTACATTCCTTGGCAGGTGGCCCCTCTTCCATCATCAAAACCAGCAGCCTAGTGTCTGGCTTCTGTCTTCACAGTAGCTTCTTCTATAATAAAATCTCCCTCTCCCTCTCTCCTATATGGATCCTTGTGATTACATTTAGGGCCCACCAGGATAATCTCTCCATATGGAGACCCTTAACTTTATCATACTGGCAAGGTCTCCTTATAAGGTCACACTCACAGGCTCCTGGGATTAAAATATGAGCATTTTGGAGGGATCATTATTCTATCCAGCACAACCAGAAAATAAGGATGTTTATGGTTGCATTAAGCAAGGTTCTCCAAGAAACATAACAAATGGAATATATACATATAATATTATACATTAATTAATACCATATTAAATATCTTAATACTATATATTTATTAAATATAGATACATCTACTATATAGTCGATATTATAATTATATAATATATAATATATATCTAATAACTATAAATTGTTATATGTTTAATTATATATTTATTTTACAAATATGCCATATTTGTATTGCATATTTATATTTTAAATATACTATAATTTTATATCCAGAAAGAGCTAGTATATAATTATATTTCTAAAAATACTGTTATAATATATATCTAGAAAGAGATTTAATGTAAGGTATCAGCTCATGTAATTATGGAGGCTGAGATGTCCCACTGCTGTCTGCAGGCTGGAGATCCCCTGAAAACCAGTGGTGTAGTTCATAGGCCTGAGAGCAGGAGAGCAGATTGTGGATGGTGTAGATGCCAGTCCGAGTGTGAAGGCCTCAGAATCAAGAGGGCTGAGGACAGAAGATCAGTGTCTCAGTTCATCAGTCAGGCAGAGAGTAAATCTGACCTTCCACCGCCTTTTTGTATCCCATCCCTCAGTGGATTGG